TATGATCTAAAAATAGTTAGTGTTGCACGGAAAACGCCTATAGGGTTTTTTGTAAAAGGGAACCTTAAAGAAAAAAAGAAAAACCTAAGGGAGTTTGAACGGTTTTTTAAGTGTATTTCTATCAGTTTTAGGTCTACAAGCTTGAAATTTAGATTGTTATGATGGAATGGTGAGCTCTTTAAGTTTTTCTAAGTTCAGAAGGTGTGTTTAGATAGCCGTTTTAAAGCTATTAAGAGAAATCTAAAAAATGGGGCCAAGTGGCCATTTCTCGGTGGTTTTAAAAGTTTTTGATTTGATATTTGAGTATTATATGTATTTTTTAGTTAGGAATAAGTTAATTTAGTAGCAAAACCAAGGTTAACTTAGTATAAAATAAAGTTATAAGATGTTTTAAGATAATTAAGCTGGGGAAAATTTGTAACAAGTGATAGACAGAAAGAGTTTTTTTTTTTTGATTTTTTGTAAAGATTCTGGAAGAAAAATTTGTAAATATAAAATTACTATATTAAGAATTTATATTATGGAATCGCTGACTAATCATTTAATGTTTTATCCATTTTGATTTTTCTTAGATCAAAGAAATTTGAGCTAACACAAGATATTAATGTCATTTTATGATAATTTCAATTGTATTTGAATCTAGGTGCACGCCGAAAATATTGGCATATCCTACCGAAGAGCATTGTATATGGTACACGGAGTCTTATTAAGTATCTATAGGTATTGTGTGAAGAACCAGGTACTATATAGAGATATATTATATAAATGTAATAAATTAAAATATAGCTATTATTCAAGAATTAAGCCTGATGGGTGGAGTCCTAACTTTAGCAGATACTTTATGCAGTGCTAGTGGTAATTTTGGAAGACAATACAGTTTTTTTTTTTTATATATTATTTACTTCAGGAATGGATTCTTAATAGTGAAATATCTTGAGAATATTGTTTATTAATAGGCGACTACAGTATTGATTTTTTACGCCAATATTCTTAGCATTACGCTTAATTCAGTCCCAGGTAACGATTTGCATTTTTTTGGGGTTTATTTTTTTTTACGTTCTACAAATCTTAATTACAAAACTTAATCCTTTTCAACTACACTTTAAATATGTTGATAACCATGGAATTAATTTTTACAGTTTGTTAAAAAATGATAATGTTAAATATTATTGACTTAATATACTAATAAAAATTGCTTTTAGAGTTTTGTAATCTTAAGCATACCAATAGGAAGCAAAATATCATGTCTATACTTCGTATCAGAATTCAGAACGTTTAGAATATTTCAGTTTTCTTTCTAGCATTCATCGTGAGTATATAGTTCAATATATGTACACATATGCATATATTAAATGTCAATTATTTTCAACTTTAACAGTGGCTGTTCCAAAAAGAAAATATCAAATGCAGTCATAATTAGTGGAAAGGTTTGCGCCCGAATATTTTTATGATATTAAAAATAAAAAAAATTAACTGTACAAGTATTATACAAAATTTATTATAAATAAAGATAAGATTTATTTATTAAAATATAACAAATACATTCATATCCAAGTTTACAAAAGTAAGGAATGATAACCCAGCATGACTAAATATGAACTTTCTTAACAGCAAACTAGAATTGTAAAATTTTAAATATCACTTCACGATTGTTTGTAACTCTAGCCTTCACCTAAGATTATTCGTATTCTATCTGACCAGGTTGCTGAAAATCTATTGTCTATGAATATTGTTTAGGAATCGAATTATTCCTTCATATTCTACTGTTCTAAGTTAAAATTCTTTAATTATCAATACAGTCAGACCTCTCAAGTGCATGCTCAAGTGCCAGCCCGAATATATACTTGACCTCCATATAGTGTTCCTATGAACCGAACTGAAACCGAACTTTGGTCAAGTTCAGGTTCAGGTTCAGTTCAATCATGTTCAA